TTATTTACCTCTCTTCGATGCATCTTACCGAGAGGGTCATCGCAGGTTACCATGTACTGGGCACGCATGATAGGTTGGTGAACTTGGACCTGAAAGATAGACCACAAGCCCAGATAGAATTGCACGATGAATTGAAGTATAACACGGGAATGTATATCCACAGAGCCATGAAGAAGGTCAAGGGAAATGGTTGTATCCTTGCCACGAGTTTAGGTAAGTCAAAAGGATACTTACGCTACTGGGATCAGAATTTTTCATATTTGAAGATCTTAAATCCATATTGTTTAAATAATGGTGCAGCCGGGGCATCATGGGCCACTGGATTGTATTCATAGTCTATCCTCGGTATGGAAGGGCCTGTATATTCGACTCTTTGGAGGAAGGATCGAACAAACAAGGGTACAAGCATTTCAAAAGCGTTTTGTGATAGTAAGTGATGACGCTTATTCTTTTATACACTTAACGTACGTGTTACATACATTTGTTGTTGACACTAGTGGTTTTCGTACAGCGCTTACAAGAAGTACATGAAAGACCCCGAGTGCTATGATCGAAGATCTGAGAAGAAGAAGAAGAAGCGCGAATGGCACAAAACTAAAACTGAGGCGAACATTCCCGGTACGTATCAAAAGTCATATGTGCTACTTTATCGTGCATGCTCTCCATATGTTCTAATGCTTGTGTATTATATATCGTGCAGTGCACCAAACAACCTCCCGACACACTAATCTGTGGATACTACGCTTGCGAGTACCTCTGAGTGTGCAGTAGATTCAACCACAGCTGGTGCCAGCTCAAGAAAGCATAGAGGTGGTGGGAGAAGGAAAAGATCGACCACAAGAGCATCACTCAAACAATAGCGAACACATGTAAGTTTATCATGGACTCCTACGTGCAGGTTGGGGAAATGTTTTTCAACACAGAGAGCGAGTTGGTGAAGGAAGAGAAGTATGAGAAGTTAAGAGACTAGAGAACCATGGGCCTAACGGATTACAAGTTGTCGGACATCTTTGATTAGGTGACCTTAGTTGCTTATGTATGAATGTGTGATGTGTGTTTGTGAAACAATGATGAAGACATATGTAACGTAATAACTTAATTTTGGTTCGTCGAATGAGAATGAATGTAATATATGTTTATCCTCTATTTTTCTTTATCTGTGTTTTCATTAGCGAAAATCAAATTCAAATCCAAATTCAAATTTGAAAAAGCATTTTTTTAAATCTAGAAATCATTAATGGAGGTGGGCATTTAATAACAGCCGCCTCCATTAATGGTTTAACCGAGGCAGACGGATTTAGCCAACCGCCTCGGTTAAAATCTTAACCGAGGGGGCTGGTTAAGGCAACCACCTCAGTTAATACGTATTAACCGAGGCAGTTGGATTATGATGACCGCCTCGGTTAATCGATTAACTAAGGGGGTTGGCCAACTGCCTCGGTTAAGGCCACGATAAACCATGACCTTTTGACCGAGGGGTTGGCTTGCTCGTCTCAGTTAAGGCTTTTTGCCCGCCATGGTTAAAATTCCTGCAGTAGTGTTCTTACCATCAAGAACCTGCTACCTTATGCTTTATCTAGATTCCCATGCAAATATTTAGGATTTCCCTCTCCCTTAAGAAGCTCACTATGGTGGAAATCCAACCTATTGTTGATTGCATTGCAAGTCAAGTGTCAGGATGTGGAAAGCAGACTCATGACATGGACAGGAAGGAGAGTGCAGGTATAATTTGTGCTCACTGCTATGCTAGTGTATCTTGTAATGGCCATAGACTTCCCACCTTGGGCCATCAAAGCCATGGATAGGTTTAGGCGGGCCTTTCTTTGGAGAGGAAGAAAGGAGGAAAAGGGAGGCCTTGTCTTGTGGCATAGGGCAAGGCATGTCGTCCACCTGAGCTGGGAGGCTTGGGGATTTCAGATCTGAAAAATCTAGGCTGGGTTTGGCTTAAGAAAACTAAACCTCACAGGCCCTAGGCGAACTTACCAATCCAGGTACCCGAGTAGGTCCAAGCTTTCTTCAAATTAGCCATCATCTCTGAAGTTGGCAGCGAGGCATGCACCCTCTTCTGGATAGACAAGTGGCTGAATGGCCAATCTATTGCGGACCTCATCCCTCATCTACATGCTATAATTATAAAGAGAACAACAAAATGATGCACAGTTGAAGAAGCCCTTTCTAACCGGGCTTGGATATCAGATATTCATGGTGACTTGTCAACAGAACAATTATGGAATTTCTCTATTTATGGGACCTCATATATGACTTTTAGTTGCAGCTAGATATTGAGGATTGTCGCATTTGGCGCCTTTCTTCTAGTGGACAGTATTCAGCCAAGTTAGCCTAAGAAGGTTTTTTCATGGGAGCTACCCAATTTGGCCCGTATGAGAGAATTTGGAAATTTTGGGCTCCACCCAAGTGTTGTTTCTTCATGTGGCTGGTTGCACATGCCAGATGTTGGACGACGGATCAGTTGGCAGGGCGAGGACTACCACACCTGACGCGGTGCCTTCTTTGTGATTAAGAGGAGAAAACCATCAACCATCTCCTAGTATCTTGTGTCTTCGCTCGACAGTTCTGGTTCTCTTTGTTCTAGCATGTCGGTATCCACTAGTTATCCCCACAGCATATAGACTCATCCTTGATTTATGGTGGAAAAGATCAAGCAGTGCTTCCGCTGGGCTAGCAAAGAAAGGATCAACTCACTTGTGATCATAGGAGCTTGTATCTTGTGGAATCATCGCAATAGTTGTGTTTTTTATGGAGTGACAGATAGCTTGGCTGGTGCTTTGAGCTCTGCTTTGGAGGATTGTCGGTTGTGTGCTTTGGCAGGGGCTCGGGGGCTACCCTTCTTGATGACCCCTACCCCCACTCTAGTAAATTCAGCCTGCTTACCTAAAGAGGAGGGTGGACTTGGCATCATCAACATGAGAAACCAGAACTCAACTCTTCTCTTTAAATTTTTGTACAAATTTTATAATCATACAAACATCCCATGGGTAGAACTTACCTGGTCTAAACTTTATAAGAACAGCCACACCCCACGACATGCTAGAAGCCCTATGGGCTCCTTTTGGTGGATGGATGTGCTGAAGCTAACAAAAAGGTTTAGGACTTTAGGAGTTTCACTGCTTGCAACCCCCACAAAGGCAATTCAATTTTGTTTTGGCAGGACAACTGGATAAACCCTCCACTGCAGAGGTCACTCCCACAACTCTTTTCTTTTGCCAGAAAGCCCAAGTGCTCGGTGAAATTTTTTATAGAGAGCCAAATGTCCAGGCTGTTTAGCTTGCTCTTATCAATTCAGGCCTCAGACCAATTGGTGGAGATCCAAACCCTCTTGGAGGATAGACAATGGGAGGTGAACCTTGGTGACAATTGGGATTATATCTGGAACTCTCACTCCTACTCCACTAAAAGGCTTATAAACTTCTGCAAGGACAGAGAGAAGCGTCACCTCTCTTCATGGCTATGGTCCTCCTGTAACCTAGGCAGACACAAATTGTTTTTTTGGTTTCTATTGACAGGCTGAATACAAGAAACCTGCTTCGAAGGAAAATATGTATTTGGAAAGCTACAATTGTGTGCTCTATAATGCACAATGTGAGGAGACAAGCTTCCATCTCTTTGTCCAATGCCCTTTCAGCTTTGACTGTTCGAATCTACTTTCAATTCACTGGGACACAAATTTGCAACCCCTTGAATTGGTGATCACAGCTAGAAACACCTTTGGCAATCTAATTTTCAGAGAATTGGTTATAACTGCATGCTGGTTCTTATGAAAGACAAGGAATGAGATCATTCTTATGGTGAAAGCTGCAACCTCGGCAAATGGAAACATGACTTCAAGGAGGAGCTTGCTTTGGTTTCTATCAAATTAAAGCCAAGTGTGTTAGGAAAGTAGAACTTGATTTATGGCCCGACAATTTTTGCTTAGCTTTACCTTTCTCTTTTTCTTTTTGAGGTTTGCAAGCTTTGTAACTTGTACATATCATTTTTTATATATATACAGCAAAAATAGGTAGGGGACTCCCCTGTCAACGGTTCAAAAAAAAATTCTCAAACTTTGGTCGTCTTTCTTTGCTTCCGCGGGTGCATTGCGAAAAGTTTTTTGTAGTGGTGTGGTGTGTGTTGTACGGATTCCCTTCCCCCTTTTTCATCTTAATATAATGAAGCGTAGTTCTTCTCTGTTTTTAAGAAAAAAATCATATTAAATCATGTGTAATAACATTTTTTATAAAATAACATAGGCATATCCTGTGTCACTCTTTGATTTGAGATGAGAATTGCATCCGCGTATTTGATATCTGTATCTGTATCTAGGCAACCTAGCATGTGAATTGACTGTAACTTCTGATGCTCATTGATCATAGATGTGAATAAAGATCTGCATCTCTGACCAAGCAGCTTAGTCTATGAGCGCCGGTCATCATCTACGGTGATTTAAAAAGACTATATATATCTGAGATTAGATACTGAACATAGACAGACCTCATAGCGTTACATGAGAAAACTAAAATAAATCAAAGATAGGCCGCTACAAATAAATGTATGTGATATTATATCGTTACATCAGAGATATATCTTAAAAGTATTATAGGCGAATCAAACAACCGTTTGAGAGTTGAAGTCTGTGATGAACACTCGATCACATATTCACATCACAGACGGGTTATTAGCCATACTCGATCACATCACACAGATGGGTTATCATCAGCCATATGTGATAAAACATCATCCCTGACGATTCCTTAACTAAGTTAACGGACAGGTATATTGCCCGTCTATGATTATTGTTATCAATAGACGGGTTACAAAATCGTTTGTCTTTGAGTTGAGTTCATCATAGACGGGTAAATACCATTGCCATAGAGACGCATTCTCACCTACGCACGTATCTCCCGAACGTGATCAGGGATTCTACCACAGTGTCATCCAGTTGCTCATTCATTCCAGCCGTCATTCAATTAATTAACACGTGCCAACGCGTGTCCGTGGCATGCATGCGGTTGCCTCCACCCGGCGCGGTTCGATGAGGATCTGATGGCTACGAACAAACCGCGCCCAAACTCAAACTGCCGGCACGTGACCCTGTGTCTCGCGCGCGCGCGCAAACCGCCGCCGCCGCTTCAACCGTCGCGTCCCGTCGCGCGCGCGCGCGTAAAACTCCACCAACCACCGCCCCTTGGCGGCGTACAAATACCCTATCGCCGCTGCCGTCCATGGCCAGGCGCTCCACTACTGCACAAATCCGACATCTTGCCGCTCCACGCGCATCCCTCTTGGCCTCTGCATGCGCCGCCCACCTCCGCCCACGCACATACCACTGCAGCCATGTCCATGTCCGACGACGAGCCGTACGACGCCGACGGCGATGTCAGCCGCTTCCTGCATTGCCCTAGCCCGGAGGCTCACTTGTTCCCCTTTTCTGAACCGGAGGGCACTCTCGTGGGGCTCTGCCAGAATGCGCCCGCGACCGCTGATGAAGTCCAGGGCCACCAGGCGCCGCAGACACTGAACGCGGCGCCGGATTTATTTGGCCACCAGGTTCCGACCACGACTGAGTTCCAGGGACTCCCGCCGGCACCACAGACGCTGAACGCCGCAGCGGATTTCGGCCTCCATCAGGCACTGATCACTGGATTCCAGGCTCACCCGGCGCCACAGACGCTGGGAGTGGCGCCGGATTTTGGCGTCCAGGCGGTGCCGACCACTGAATTTCAGGGACACCCGCCGGCGCCCGATTTCGGCCTCCCTGTGCCGGCCATCGACGCCGCCGACCAGTATCAGGCGCCGATCATCAACGCTGAGCAGTATCAGGCATCGGCCATGGACGTAGATCAGTACTACCAGCCGATGGCCGTGGACAACACCCAGCCGACGCAAATGCTGGCCCCCGAGATGCATCATCAAGCGTATGGCGGCTTTCCGGATCCTACGCCGATGCTTTGTGACGGCGTCAACGAAGCCTCTTTATTCCAGGCTAACACTAACGTGCATATGCTCGCTAATGGCGTTGTACCCGATCCAAGCCCTTCAGTGTACGAACAGCTCGTCAACGATGGGGAGGCAGAGCTTGCTGCTATCCTCTGGGACATTGAGCGTGGGGACAACGCTGGTGCTGCAGCTGCCGGTGCTGCGCTTAATGACGTGCACCCTGTCAAGGAGGACGTCTTCTTCCGGCCAATCATCCGCGGCCAGCTCGACTGCTCCCGGTGCCGCTCAGTCCGGGAAGTCGTGTGTCTAGATGGTAATAAAGCAAGGACGTTCTTCTCCAATTCATTCAGCTGTATACAAAATACATAGTTCATTCACAGATTTCTTACGTACACACCTTGCCCTTTATCGGTATTGCTCACGTCGCTATATATATATATACTGCATCTATGCACTCTGCAGAGAGGCGGAAGATGCATTTCATGGTGCATGCCTCGGAGCCGGGGATGATTTTCCAGCATGCGATCGTCGATCGTATGTCCATTCGTGCAGATGGTCAGCTCCATACGGATGTCCTGCTGCACCATGAGTAAGTGGCTCAACCACAATGCTACTAGCTAGTACATATAAAGAAGAATCTCTCTCTGGTTATATATATATCCTTTTACCTTTGTTTCAGTCTCCGCGGGCGCAACCACGAGTGGGTTCACAACTTTATAGAACGCAGCGTGGAGATGATGAAAAGAAACCGCGGGCAGCTGCAAGACACATGGTCTAGCAACTACGCTGCAGTCTGCACCAACGTCGCCACGGCGCCACCGCCGAGCAACCATGCGCGCTTGGAGCAGCTCGAGGCTATGTTGAATAATATACTTTCAGCCCCTGCTTCAACAGCTGGTGAGAGGATCGAAATTCTGAAGCGTATAGAAAATTTTTCTTTCAAAAATACTGTATATAAACTATATAGGACATTCATATTCATGCTTCTGTAAATTGAAAACTCTGGTATCCTAGTCGTAATAGCGTTGTTATCTCATGCATGTGTAGCTGCTCAGCCAGCGGTCACGCCGCAGGAACAACAAACCACCGATGCACCAGGGGTAGCGGAAACAGCAGCCCCTGAAGCTGCTGATCCTGCAGTCACGCCACAGGAACAAGGAGAAAACACCCATGCTCAAGGGGTTGCGAAAGCAGCAGTCCCTGAAGCTGCTGAGCCTGCGGTCACGGCGCCACAGGAACAACAAACCACCGATGCTCCAGGGGTAGGGGAAACAGCAGTCCCTGCAGCTGCTCAGCCTGGGGTAACGGCGCCTCAGGAACAAGAAAACACCGATGCTCCTGCAGAGGGAGCTGAAGCAGCAGGCCCTCAAGATGTTCAGCCTGCAGTGTCACAGAAGGAAGAAAACAAGGATGCTGGAGCCGTATTTGCTCCTTTTAACTGGGAAGGATTCCAACCAGAAATACTTGAGTCTTCTCTTGTTCCACCATATGATCCAGAGTCCGGTACCAATGTGTTGTTGTACCCAAGCCTGATGGAGCAACTACGCAAGACCGAACTCGAGAGGAAGGAAAGCAAGAGGCTTTCCAAAATGCCGGCTCTGGATACATCGACGTACCTGGAAATGAGTGGTGAAGATTCCGCTAATGAACCGAAGCTTGGATCTTTAGCATCGTTCAGACGTCTTTGCCAAAGAGACGCTACATATCGGCTATATTCGCGCAGGGTATGTACGTTACTCCATATCTGATGTGTGGATTTCAATTTATTTATAAATGTATGTACTGGATCTGTAGTTCGTTCATCCGTATGTCATTTGGTTGTTGATGATGCCCCAGGTCAATTGTATCAATAGAAAGATGACGAAACTCCAGCAAACTGCAGCTAGAGTTGACCCGAGGGGGCTGTTTGCAATTAAGCAGAAGATGCAAACGTACAAGCGCGAGAAGGCAGCCCTTTATGACATGATCAACAAAGCGATCCAGGAGAATGAGAGGGGCGGCAACAACGATGCTGGTCCTTCCAACCGTGCAGAGCCTTCAAACAGGGCTGGTCCTTCTAATGAAGCTGGTACATCGAACGATGCTGCCAGTCCTTCCAACACTGCCATTCCTTCTTCGGATGGTGCTGGTACATCAAACGACGCTGCCGGTCCTTCCAACGCCGCCATTCCTTCCTCCGACGGTGCTGGTACATCAAACAATGTTGCCGGTCCTTCCAACGCTGCAATTCCTTCCTCCGACGGTGCTGGTATATCAAACAATGATGCCGGTCCTTCCAAGTCCAACACTGCCATTGTTCCCTCTTCCAACTGTGCTGGTCCTTCTGGCAGCAAGTAGAGAGCCGGTGACTAAATGGTGCAGTGAGAGACTGAATAAGCATTGCATATCGCATGTAGTACTTTATTTATTTGGACTTTATATGTCGTCGCCTGTGTGTAATAATATTGATCAGGAACTCCTATTTGGTCATCGTATGACCAGTATAGGGGAAACTGGAACATGGCTTTCTTGCATGGTTCAAAAATAATATTATCATGATGAGACATGAGAAGACATTTTCTAATGATTTACAATGTAGTCTAGTATAAATTAATCTTTGGTGCTCGCTTGCTCTCTTGCGCTCTGTTGAGAAAATGTGCTTTATTTTGAAGGATCTGTTCATTTGTTTGTGAATGACACTAGTTAAGCTGCAATTTCTTTGTGAATGACACAAGTTTCAACATCATTTTAGCCATCTCTTGAGTGCCACAACATTGCACAATAATATTGTTTTACTTCCACCTTGTTTATGATCACATGAATGCTTCCAATTTCTCATGAATGCAACAAAGAAATTTCATCACCGTGAAGATCACTACATCCTTAATTTTACTTCCAATGCTTGTTTATAATCTAATCTAATTTTCCTTTGTCTTTTTGTAACACATAATGTTTACATTGCACAATATTGTTTTGATATACTATGCTATGCCAAATATATCTTGTATGTTCAATCACATATATATATATATCATGACTAGCCTGTGCATTGCTACAAGTAAAAAGATTATACATAACATTTGTAATGAAAAAATTATAGTAACCCTAACTCTTTGAGATTGGGTGACCTCTAGGCCACCAAGATCAAGCGCATTGAACCTTGTTCATCCTTGCTTCCAAGCAAAAGAGATAGATTTGGTCTTTTCATGATTTTTCTTGCAAAAACCATAGAAATGCTATTAGAGATGAATTCAAGAGTTGGTGAGAAGATTGAGTGAGAGATGACATTACACTTGAGATGATGGAGCAACTACCAAGCTTCCTCTTGCATCCATGCATAGAGAGATTCAAGAGTTAGGGTTGAAAGATGATTTCAAGAAAATGAGAGAGATCTTCTTGAACTCACCAAATGAAGATGGAGATGAAGATGTCCACCTTTACCTTGAGATGGTGGTGCTGAGCATCCTCTTGATTTTCTTCTTTTTCTTTTCTTTCTCTTCCTTCTCTTCTTCTCCTTTCTTTTCTCTGTCTAGTTTTTCCTTGTTCTTCATATGAGGAGAGAGGGGGCAGAATGAAAATGATTGGTGTGTGAGAGGGTGAGTAGAGGGCTTCACTCCGCTAGCAAATATCTCCACTTCGTGCTGACATATCGGGTCAAGGGGAGGGGAGAGGAAAAGCTCACCGGAACATAATTATGTTGAATAAGTGATCTAGCGGACAATCGGACGAGATGTCGAACGATCCGATAGATCACGAAATTGGAGAATTTGATTTTAGAGAAATTGGTTTGGCATTGGGGTCCTTGGTCTCTCTCCAGTGGTTGATAAACATCTTTAGAGAGGTTGGGAAGGCTACTTGGCAACTATCTCTGATTATCTTCTCAAAGTCAACTGTAGATTGACTAGGGTTGACCCTAAATGCCTTGGGTGGATTAGGGAGAATCGATGAGGTTGATTAGTGAATTTGGAGTCCTTGACCTAGTAGAGAGTACTAGGAATTCCTTGGAGAGGAAGAGGTGATGATTCTTTGTCTAAGAGGGACTATGCAAGGTTATCAAGGAGGTTCTAGAAAAAGTTTTATTTGGAAAGACTTTGGGTCGTGACAGAATTAATGCCACTATTGATGCCAATTGTGCAATAAACTAGCTAATATGCTCCCATGTTGTCTTGTTGTCCCCTCCAAAGAATTAAATGAATTCAAGTACTTTAAAATTATGGGGATACGGTGTAGTATCAAAAAATATTTAGGATCTGTTATATGAGTCAACCCCAATTTTATGCTCTATTCCCATCTCTTTTTCTATTTGTACGAATTTGTCTCACAAACTACTCAAAAGATTTTTTTTGGTCATGGTGTTCCGAACTATTGATGCAATTGGTTCTGAGGTATGTGTGTGCATAAGATGAGAATTTTGGGTTGATTCAAGCAACAAATTCAACCTTGTTGGTTGTATGGGTGGTTCACTATGGAGTGCATTATGAGAATATTAGAACCATCTTTACTTTGGCCAAACAGGAATAAAGCATTTGCAACGAAGGTGCACTAGTTACATTATTATAGATCGGCCGAGTAAAAATAGTATTGGCCAAAAGTTTGAGTCCAACCTTCATCAATAACTACTCCTTTTCCTGTCGATCAAGTAGTAATGCCCTATATTTTTCCAGTCGAAGCTAATGATCTTGCACGGTATTCATATTATTTTGCACACAAGTGTCTACCATATCAGTAACAGTCCTAAGTAATATATCTCTACCAGTTAGAAATAGGGAACAAGTTGCTTTGGTTTTTTCTTCATGCTGAAGAGGAGAAAAGGTGACATACTTGACTGTCATGACATTGTCCTGCCTATATCCATTGAGAAATGAAATATGAATTGTTTTGTTGCCACCAGCTTACGTGTTCTGCTTGTTGCTTCTCATCTTCATCAATCTTCTGCATGTACTCCTCAAGAGCCTTATGTTCATCAGAAGGTCAGGCCTAACGTACAACATGCAGGGGATCTCGATGCAACACCTCTGTGCACATTGACTATGTTTAAGATTTTGGCTAGTACGATTTTGATCAGATTCTATGGCAGACCAACGAAAGCTCACTCAGGAGGGAACCCCATCAGGGCAAGTGCTCCTGCATCTGCAGGCTAGCTAGAACACCTTTAGTTGCTGTCAAGACAAAGAAAGAATAGCAAATTAGGGTTTTGAGAGAGAATAAGGGAAAAAGAAAGTAAATTGATTTGTTTGGTATGATTGGATGACCCTCAGTCGGTCATGACCTTTTATATATAGGATCGGGAGGACTTATCTCTATAGGAGTCGAAACTCTTTCAAGAAACGTGCAAACAACTCCTAACTCAGGTTACATAGGTAAAACCAGTTTGGCTGGTTATGTAAACCGACATGAGTGTGGATATTTCTAATGGTGTAATTTCCTTATCTGATGTCTAAATTGTTGTTCTAAATTTTTATTTTGTGGGTGTTCTACATTTGCATTTTGACTTTCTCAGCGAGGGAAAAACAATGGTGAAATTTATTTTGCAATTTGACAAAGTTGGCCTATTTTGTAAAACCTGAACGTGAAATCACTCAATTTTGTGAACACGTTGTTTTGGAAGGAAAAATATCTAGTTCATGCTCCTCCAAGCCTTGCAACATGATATGCTAAGTCCGGAGAAAGAATAAGGGGTTGTTTGGTTGGGCTTTTGGTTGTGGCTTTTGCCCCCAAAAGCCAAAATGCTCAACAAAAGGGCCTAAAAGTCATATGTGCTTTTACCCAAAAGCAGCTTTCAGTGCAGTATAAATCCAAAAGCACCTTCACCCCTGCTTTCACTAGCTTTTGGGGCAAAAAAATAATCCACTGCCACTGATTATGTAGATAACCATTTGTTCTTTTCCCCTTCTATCGTGACTTCCTCCCATCCACGCCGCCCAGCGACCTCACCTCCGCGTCGCTGCTCCCTACGATCTGGATCCTCCCCTGCTAGCCGCGGGCCTCTCTGCCCCATCCCCGACGGCGGCATGGTCCTATCATGGCGGCGGCACGTCCTATCCCGGTGGCGGCACCTCCTTCGGTCACAGATGTGACTCCAATGGCACGGCAGGTGACCGGTGTTCCCTCCCTTGCTCCCTACATTTCCTCTTTTGCTGCCGGCAAGCACGGGTAGCCTCGGCTAGCTAGTGCAATGAATCGCTCAGGGCACAGGCCCCAGCCCCAGCGGCAAGTGCGAACCAATCAAGTGCAGATCCGACATGGGCGTGTGGCCCTCACTATGCTAGATTTGGACATCACTGCCGGCCTCATCACTGCCGAATTTGTGAGAACTGGCAGTGATGTACCTTCACTGCCGGTTATGAGCTTGAAAATGAGAAAATAATTGGGGCTAGGCTAAAACCGGCAGTGAATCACCACATCACTGCCGGTTTGTGGCTTGAACCGGCAGTGTTTTGGCGGCCACTTATCACTGCCGGTTCAAGCCACAAACCGGCAGTGATTTGGCTCTATCACTGTCGGTTCTAGCCAAGAACCGACGGTGATAAGCCTACAGCACAAAAATCCTGCAGCCATCCTCTTCTTCCTCCTCTCTTCCATCTCGAGAACAGAGGCGCACGTTTGGGCCCTTCCCTCCATTGTTGCGGCTGCTCTTTACCATGAAGCTAGTGCTTGGATTTTGAAGAATGGCTTGATCTTTTTGCTTTAAGGATAATAACAAACATCCACTCCTTTGATTTTGTTGCTTAATTAGCTTTCTTTTGATGGCTACATTGCTTGATTCTCATTCTAGTTCTTTCTCCATTCTAGATGTCATGCTTTTATTTATGGCTATGGTCATTGCTTTTCTTATTTGGAAGTTGATGTAGGCTTAGATTCGTAGAACAGTAGGTGGACTTTGTTGTATGTGGTCAATCAAACAATGAATTTGTTCTAGGTAAACATATGCTATTATTTGACTTTGTTGTATGTGGACTTATTATTAGACTTTGCATTAAACATATTATATATATAGCATATGCTATTAGTAGTTGTCCACAGCCAAAACTATTAGTAGTTGTCCGCAGCCAAAACTAATCACGATCGTGTCACATCCATGACTCGTCATCGCCTGTTACCCCATCGTCGAAGAACATATCGGCAACAAGAAGCGGCTGATATCGCTAGGACGGTGAGAGCCGCATGATCCGATAAACGGTGATGGTGTCTGTCGGGTTCATAAACCTAGGGTCCCTCGGGGACCGGCTTCCACACCAGGGCTCAGCCTGGGAAAATAGCATGCATTCCATGGGCCGACCCGAAAGTCTAGAAAACAACGGGCCGGGAGGACAGTTCAGTCGCCAACCGGGAGGCCTACCCAAAAGGACAAACGCCCT